ACCGTAAGGCGTAACTATGTTTACTGTCGAGTGCCGCCACAAATCTTAAGGACAATTCGTAAAATGCCAGAGATAGGCGAGTATACTTGATACAAGAAACGTTTACTTAATCATGTTCTACTGAAGCATATTAAGCGTGTTACGTAAGGCTGTGTCCCGAGGCAGAACAACAACATAAGTCGCTCTCGATTCGCGTGGTCCTTTGACTCCTGCGCCGCTACAAATACATCTAACAATAAATATTTACCGATCTTCACCATTAGCGATATAGCTCTATATTTCTCGAATAAGATAAACTAGATTACGGACCATACATTCTCAACTGAATTTCCATCAGGGATTAAGATGCCCAATCCAACACATCGGTTTCCACTTGTTTGCCACTCTGTACAAAGGTAGCTTAGCTGGTTGACATCGTATTCTTAATACGTTGACTGCCGTGTCGCCCGTATTCGGATGAGCACTTACGAGGTAAGTTAGTAAGTATTTGGAAAGATATTTCACAGGATATAATAAGGCTATTACATCGTTATAAAAGAAATATGTTTCATTCAACTGTCACGAAACACAACTTAACTGCAATCGAGTGGCGTTAAAACTTGAGGACAGTTTGCAAGAAACCAGGAATAGGCGAGTATACTTGGCAAAACTGTTGAAGTGGTTACCACCTCTAAGAAAACTCTACATCTGGTCTTTTTAGTTTTCTCAAGCATTGAAGCCATTGACAGCGCGTAGACAAAAGACTGCGACGAAGTCAGGCCATAAACAGTAGACAGGCGACGTTGGCTTCGGGGTTTTCAGTTATTGGGTAACACAGCTGGCGTGCGGACCTGGACAAGCTCAAATTGTATTCTTACTTATTACTTCTATTTAAATATATTTTCTGCCTTACAATTTATCCACGTGTTTTCTCTATTTACACATCGAATAATCTCAACAAAAACAAATGCTATTCCAAGGAAGAAGATGGTCCAATCCCTAAATACCAGACACGTTAGTGCAGCAACAGGTCATAAAGTGACTGCACAGTACAACTTTTACAATTGAAGCAGAGTCTAAGAAATAGAAATCCTTGCAGCAGAGTTTAAATAACGCACATACTAATAACTAAGAAACGCATGATTGAATTTTCCTGAATTAAAAAAAATTATCCTTTGTTAAACTACTTCTAAAGAAAGGTTAACATTACCTTTATCTACGTTGCAACCATGAAAATGATCAATGTAGACTGGATTAATGTACTCTATCTAAATTATCGTGTCAATTACCAACTTTTAGACATCCATCTAGAATTATTAACATTTCTCTCCAATTCCTCGATCCGTCGGGTAAAGAATCCATAACCGAAAGCAAATATATTAACCGGATTGTATTTTAAAGGACTCGAGCTAATCAAAGGGCTATCAATCGATACTCCTTACAAAAGTCTATCGATGCAGTACCGAGAGAAACGAAGGAAGACAGATAAGCGTTCTCGTAGCGTTGTAGCTAGTAACAAGGGCGAATTACGCGCGCAATCAGTTCACCTGAAAGAGGAAAGGATTGGCACGGTGCACCCTGCTGAAAGGTTCGACCGCTTCTGAAAACGTTCTGTTTCCATCGTTCGCCCATACGTGTCAGACACGTCGTTTTACCCCTAGAAGGGATCAGGGGTGCGTATCCACTCCTCTTCTTTTTTAATCTAGCCATTGTGATGGTAATGCACAGTGTTAGTTTCACGGAT